AAAAGGTCAGAATCCCCCCCCCCCCCCCCCCCCCGCCGCTCTACTCCCTACCCCCCTTACCCTAGTGTAGCCCTCCGTGCCTTTTTTCTTGTCCTGTTCTTTTTTTTTCTTTGGGGGGGGGGGGGGGGGGGGGGGAGGCCGGCGGCAAGGGGCGAAGTGTCGGAGATCGGTCAGCAGGGCGGGGGGGAGGTCACTGCGCGGGACAGGAGGGAGGGCCGTACGCCGACTCCCTCAAACTCGAACTCGTCCTCGACGTCGGACATGGGGTCGGCCCTGCTTGGAGGGATGGATAGGAGGGGGAGGGAGGGGAAACCGGGGGGACAAGCGACAGATGGCACAGGAGACGGAGCGGGGAGGGGGGCCCTGGTCGGCGCGGCGCAGGAGGAGGGCAAGGGAAATGCATGGGGGGGGGGGGAGAAAATGTGCCTGACTCGGGTCGCCAGACGGCTCCTTGAGCTGCCATGCGATCTCTTGATTATACATGCAGAGCGGGGCCAGGGGGCGGAACAGCCGCACAGGGCCCGCCAGCCGCCGGTGAACTGGCCCCGCCCCTCCCTCCCCCTTTTGACCTGGCTCCTCCTGCGTGTGTGCGTGTGTTTTTTTTGTGCATGGGGATGCACGGGGCGTGGCAGCCCGGCAGGTGGACGCGCCGCAGATGGGGGCGGGAGCCCGGCCCAGCGGTGCAGCCACAAGCACGGCGCTGTATGGTGAGTGAGGCCAAGCGGACAAGAAAAAAGGCAGCCCATCTGACTCACCTGTGTGGCCGAAGGGCACAGGGCCGAATGATATCGCCTCACCCCTGGGCCCTGGGCGAGGCCGGCGAACGCGCGAGCAACCGGCGCGCGACGGAAAACACCATCGGCCCCAGCGGGCGGACTCCCCCGACCCCGGTACCCCTTGCCCGGGCGTTCCATCCGGCCCCCCCCCCCCCCCTTGCCCAAGGCAGGGGAATGATGCCCCGCAATGATGTGCCCCGCGCTCATGCCCCCCTCCTCTTCCTCCTCGGGGGCTGCTGCTGCTGCTGCTGCTGCTGCTAGGAAGGCCCCCGATCAGAGGCGGCCCCTGGGCCAGGGAACGCTCCCGGCCCGGCTCCGTGGCCGGCCAACCTGCGAAGCCCCTCCGGAGGAGAGGGCCCCACAGCGACGCCACCGCTACCGGCAACCACAGCTGCCGCGGGGGGGTCGCTGCCAGGGGGCCGGCTGGCTGCGCGACAAACGATGGCGCGCCGCTAACAGGCGTGATCCTTCCGGTGGTAGAACGGATCACATGCAAAACCATGTGCCAGCCTCGGCCCGGGTGAGACTTGCGTCGCCCCCGCCCCCGCCCCCGTCCGTTCTGGTTGCTGCTCCCTCCCGGGGCCCGAGCCGGGGGCAGCTTTCCGGAGCAGGGTCCCCGCGCGCCGTCGGGCGTGCTCCCACGAATACACACACATGGGTGGGCGGAGGGGCAGGCCTCCCCCCCCCCCCCCCTCCCCAGTCGCTTCCTCCCTCCTCCCTCCGTCACTCGATCTACGGCCGTCTTCCGGTCGGCCGGCCAGCAGGTCCGCCCCCCGCAAGATGGGGCCTTTTGGGCAGGCCGCCTGCCGGCCGCTCCACCGCTTCACCCCATCCCCTTCAGCCTCCTCTTGTCTCTTCCCCCTGCTGATTCATCCCCAGTTTTCTGTACACAAACCCCCGCACGCTCCTGCACTCCTCGCTGCCCTCCTGCCACCTTGCTCCCTCTTCCTCCCTCTTTTCATCTCTCCCTCTTCCTCTTGCCCTCTCCTGCCCTCCCCCCCCCCCCATCCCACTCCACCCCATCGGCTTCGCTCCTGACGCCCTTTCTTCCCTCCGCATCTCGCGCACACAGATTCCATCACCATGGACATCAACGCCCTCACCCCCTATGACCGCAACCGCTTCATGGCCATGATGGAGGAGAAGCAGGTGCGTCGGCGCCCGCGCCCGGCCCCATCCCGGCCCACACCTCTGTTGCCCCTCCACTGACGCTCATTCTTTCGGACGCCAGGTCAAGGACTCCCTTCGCCTCTATCACAACCTCGTGGAGCGCTGCTTCCTCGACTGCGCCAACGACTTCACCACCAAGACGCTCACTGCCAAGGAGGTGCGACCCGGGAGCCCCCCGGCCCCTCCCCAGCCCCCTGATCATCCTCCCCCCTCTCCTGGCCATGCCCCGTCTCTAACCAGGCCGTCCCATGGTCTGCCTTTTCCCCCACCACCCCCTCTCGTCCTTTTTTTTCCCCTTAGGAGGCCTGCGTCAACAAGTGCTGCGACAAGTTCCTCAAGTACTCCGCCCGCATTGGCCAGCGCTTCGCCGAGCAGAACACCGCCATGGTTGACATCCAGCAGCAGCTCATCAGCGAGAATGCCAGCCAGTAAGCGATGTCGGGCACATGCGTGCGCATATTCCCCCCCCCCCCCCCCCCCTCGCCCCGACATTTGGCCCCTCACACGTTGTGTGTATGTGTGTGCCCACACATAGTGCGCGCCCTCTCTACATGCACCTGCCCCCCTGTGGGGCCGAAGAAATAGACCATGGAAAATACCTCCCATCTTCCCGTCGCTGGGCTGGCCAAGAATAACCCAACGCTCTGGTGCCCTGCGCGCAGATTGACAACCACCACCACACCTGAGCAAACCCAAGCACACATCTCCACATGCCCACCCATGTGTGCATGATTATCCGGCACGCACACACACACACACACACACACACACACACGTACCCGCCCTTCCGAGGGCTCCCTGAAAGAAGAAGAGGCGCGCATGCCCGTTGAGGAGAGATAAGGGGGCGGGGGGGGGGGGGGAAGGTGTATTCGGTCAATGTGTCCGAGCGCAGGGAGGGTCTTCGGGCGCAAGAAACAAGGACAGCCGCAGACTGCAGGACAATCAAGCGAAGGGAGGGGGGAGGGAAGAGAGAGGAGGGGAACTGAAGGCAACGCTGTGTCGGGAGAGGAGGAGAGAGGGAAGAAGGAGAAGGTGACACAAACGGTAGTATATGAAGAGGGAAGTGCTACTGCACCACATGTGGCCGGAGCCATGTGTGCCTGATCTCCCCCCTTGACCAGTGGCGCAATGGAAGGAGGGAGAGCACAGGCAATGCGCGAAGCAACAAGGGGGAGGAGGAGAGGTGTAGAATGAGGGAGGAGAAGGGAGGGGGAGAGAGGGAGGGAGGGGGGATTATTCACATCGTCTAAGAGAGCATCATCTCATTACGGAGCTTGGAGAGCTCGTCCTCTTCCGAGTCGGACTCCTGCTGGTGGCGCGAGGACTGGGGAACTGGCGGAAGGAGATCCGCCGTGTTGCGATGCGTCGGGACCGCAGGCAGGTCGTACTGCGCGTGCTTGCTGCTCGCGGGGGTGCTGACATCGAAGAGGCTATCCTCGACGGCGGAGCTGATCTCGTTTTCCAGCTCATCAAGCAGCTCATCCTCCTGCAAGAGGGGGGGGGGAGGGCGTCGTGATTGGCAGTCCAAATGGCGGCGAGCAGGGGCATGAGGAGGGTGAGGAGGGTGCGGAGGGTGCGGATGATAAATGGCAACCGAGCAGAGGAAAAGTGACGCACGTCAATGTTGAAGAGGGGCGCGGCCAGGGAGTTGGAGATCTCCTGGGTAACATCGGCCGCCTCGCGGATGTCGTCCATAACATCGTCGATCATATCCTGGTCCCTGTGAGATGTCGCACATGCCAGTGTCGATGGAGCCAGCGGGGGGGAGGAGGAGGAGGAGGAGGAGGAGAGAGTGATTCCACGCGCGTGGGGGAGGGATGGAGGAGAAGAGCAAGGGACATGTCAGCGGCTGGCAGGCCACAAAGAAGGCAAAATGGGGACCAACCGAAGGGGCGGCCAGCCCGCGAGACGGGCGCCGGGGAAGAGGGACAAACGCACATGTTGTTGTAGATCTTCTTCTGGGTCTCAGCCGAGCGCTTCAGCGAGTCCATGGTATCCGCGGTGATGGCGGCCGATTCGATGCTGTGCATTTGCGTCTCGATGTTGAAGCGCATCCCCTGGAGCTTGGCAATGTCATCGGAAATGATCTTCCGGCGCTTCAGCTGATTGAGAGCCACTGCGAGGCGCCGCAAGAGAGGACACAAAGGGCGGGGCACATATTTGCATGTCAGAAATGCCAGGGGACCCCAGTTAATCGCGGGAGCAAATGACCGGGGCGCAGGGGGGAAATGCAGACTCCTTTTCATCGGGACACGCACGCTGCTTCTGGCCCTTCTTCTGGTAGGCGACCGCCTGCTCGGTCAACTCGTCATACTTCCGCTGGAGGACAGCCTCACGCTTCTCGAGATTGCTGCTGGTTTCGCGCAGGTTCGCAAGACTGCACATGACAGGAGGGGGCGGGGGAGGGAAAGGGTCAGATGCTGGTTCGGGGGAAGAGGTGTCTCGATGGCAAAGCAGGGCAATGCGCAAGGAAGCAGCAGAAGAGAGAGGGCACAGAGCGGAAGGGAGAGAGGGAGAAAGAAAGGAAGAAGGAAGGAACAGCGTGTGCGTACGTGCTGGCGGTGGCGGAGGCCGAGTCGGCGGGGGACTTCTTGTCCCGGTTGCCCAAGAAAAAACGCATGGTGAAACTGCAGAGGGCAAAGACAAGAAAGGTGTCGGCCGATGTCAGAAGGGCGAGCTGAGAGAAGGAGGAGGGACAAGCGAGGAGGCTGGGCGGAGAGACCAAGGGGGAGGGGGATGGGCGAGGAGGGCGCACAGAGAAAGGGGAAGGGTGCGTGCACACGCGCAAGGAGGGGTGGGAACGAGCGCGGGGGCGGGGTAGGAAGGCGAAGGCGAAGGGAGAAGGCGAAGGGAGAAGGAGGGGGTTGGCCGCGGCCCAAGGGCGGGTGGCTCCAGATGGGGGCGAGAAAAAAGGTCAGAATCCCCCCCCCCCCCCCCCCCAGAACTTCGTGCGTGTGTGTGTGTGTGTGTGTGTGAGGCACCCCCGAGAGCCAAGTGTGTCAGGAGGTCTTCGCGGGGGGGGGGGGTAACCTTCCCTGCCGGCCTCGGTGTCAACCACCCTCGCGGGCGAGAATCCGCTTCCCCACGGCGGTTCCACCGGCCCCCTCCGCCCCTGGGGAAATGTCTCGGAATATGTGCGCCCGAGGGTGTGGGTGTGGGTGTGCGGGTGGCTACGTGTTTTCGTGGGATGTTCACCTACACGCGTCCGGAACGGGGCGCGGCGATCGCGGGCGCTGGCGGTCCCGGGGAATGGGAATGCCCCTTCGCGGCCCCTTTGCATTTCCCGGATGTGGCTGCGGAGGCGGCTTCCCGGGG